TGAACTTATGTATGCTATAATACTACATTGATGATGGTTTGAATATCCCATTGATTGTGATCTCACTGGTCATCGAAGCACATTCTTCTGAGAACCAGATTAGCTCAATTATCCTAAATTGTCTCAGTAGCTACGTGTAACAAGTTTTGGTTGACTCAGTGGTCCCGGAATCTGGACAGCACAATTATTCTAAATTGCCCCGTGGTCCCAGATAACGTGTTTCTGTTGATTCAGGGATTCGTAGATACTTTAGATAACTAACTTGCTCAGTTTTGCTTCTGTAAAAATGCTTTTTGTGAAGCAGTTTCTTCATTCCAGACCCAAAGATGTAATCAATAGCTTTGCGATATCCTGCCAATATAAGCCAGATGTGGCAAGATCTGGAGCTCTTTAGCCCCATTGTATGCCACCAGCCTTTAATAAATGACTCCATAATTTGACTTCTTGAGGCATTCTCAGTCAGATGTGGTCACACTACAGCATTACCACCAAGGAAAAAGGGAGGAGGGAGGAGGGGAAAAGTCTTGGGAGAATAGTGGGAGGGGTTAGCAGCACATACCTGAGTTCAAGTTGTGCACCACTGTGAGGCCCATTTTGGGGGGAAGGGGAGCCTCATTTCTTAAGTTGATTATGGTGCATAATGGGGTTCTAGAAGCTTCCCTCATTGGGGAGAGTCAGTCACCTGGAATTAGGCTTCCTTTGTTAAGGGTAGGGTTCTTTGAGTGGTCTCCTTCAGTTATGTAAATGTTGGTGAAAGGGCACCAGTTGCCCTGGGGTGGAACAACCTTTTGTGGCCTACCAGGGCCATCCCTTCTCAGTGCCCCTTGGAATGCAGAGCTGGTGGCAGGGGCTGGCGGCAGGGAGGGAAGTGTTTTGGATCCAAAGCCCAGGGCCTTGGGAGAGGAAAGAGCTTGAGACACATCTCCCCTCAACCTGCTCCCCAAATTCAGGTTGGGGATTGACTAACATTTACTGTCAGGAAAGGCCTGGAAAGTTTCTTCGAAAGAACAACCTGAATGTTGCTGGGTTCCCCAGCCGACTCTACAGCTGAATGTGAGCCACAGGACCTAACCACGCCTTTCTTGCTACTGCTGTTTGGGGAAAGGCTGGCTGAGTTGGTGAGGGTGATTAAGAGGATCCCTTGTGCCTTAAGCATGGTTCGCTGCAGCCCTGCCAGGTAAGTATCTAAAAAACTATAGGACTGCGTGGGCTCCACTGCGCCACCGCCTGGAGGGAGAGACTCTGCTGAAGAGTTCTGCCCAGACTTCCAGAGATTCGGGACAATTTGGGACTAAGTGGGCTCCAAGAGGAAGAGTTTGGATTTTGTAGGGAGGAAAAAGAATTTCATTCTACCTTTTTGGATTCTTAGCTGAAACTTCTATCGCTGTAAAAATATTAATAAGATAAAAATACAAGGCCCCACTGGGCGTGGCTCAGTGGTTGAATGTCCACTGATGAACCAGGAGGTCCTCATGGTTGGATTCTTGGTGGAGGCAGTGCCTGGGTTGCAGGCTTGACCCCCCAGTGTGGGGCGTGCAGGAGGCAGCTGATCAATGATTCTCTCATTGATGTTTCTCTCTCTCTTCCTCTCCGAAATAAATAAGGGTACATGAGGGATTGAAATAAAGGAATATATATACCCTGAGCTATGGTTATTTCGATTATACATGTTAAGGGCTTACCATAGTGCCAGGCCTACTGAAGGTGCTCCATAAAATGGCAATAATTATCATTATTGCTGGGAATCAAGATGGTAAATACTGAAGATTCTGGAAACTTACAGAATGCCCTTTGTGTCTGTTTCCCAAGATAATCATCAATATGTTAGAGTCGCTGAAGGAGGAATGCCCGAGGCCAAAAGTGGTTAAGAATTATACATTTATTAGGTCACCTGGAGAACCAGATGGCTGAGACCCCGAAGGCGCCAGCACCCAGGGAGGGGGAATCTCAGATTTAATTTTATTTCATTTTTAAAAATTCAATAAATCTTTTTTTTAAAATATATTTTATTGATTTTTTACAGAGAGGAAGGGAGAGAGATAGAGAGCTAGAAACATCGACCAGCTGCCTCTTGCACACCCCCTACCGGGGATGTGCCCCCAACCAATGTACATGCCCTTGACCGGAATCGAACCTGGGACCTTTCAGTCCGCAGACCGATGCTCTACCACTGAGCCAAACCGGCTTCGGCAAAAATTCAATAAATCTTGATTGTTCAAATTATTACAATTGTTTCTCCTTTATTCTCCCCATAGTTCCCCTCCACCCGGTTCTCACCCCACTCTCTGCCTTTACCTCCCCCCCTTTGTCCACATCCATAGGTGTACGGGAATCAGAGATTTTAAAGGACGATAGGTGGGCTTTTCTGGGTTGGTCTGGATCCTGGGAGGGCCCGGAGGGATAGGATAATGGTCTTAGCAAGCGAAAGGTGGCATAAACCAAAGGGAATGTCATTGGGGAGCTGGTCTAAAGATCAGTTCCTCGGAGAGGGAGAACCAGTTCAATTATCTGGTCAGACCTAACACCATAAGCCTGGGGAGGCCGGCTCTTTGGAGGCAGCCAGGGGGCGCTCTTAGGCGCCGGAGGAAGCCAGGCAGCTGGGTTGGGAGGCCAAGAGCTGGTTGAAGGGCACAACGGCTGGGTCTTCTGGCTTAGGGTTAGGGTGGGCAGTCCCCCCTGCAAATCTCCACTAGCCTCTTTTTTCGAGGCGCCCCTTCCTGTTAAGGAGCCTGGGGACAGTGATGGGCAGGCCGCGGGGCCATGTGCTGTGCTCTCAGTCTGATGTTCCTGGGACTTGGGACTGGTGGAGGCAGTGCCTGGGTTGCAGGCTTGGGGTGTGGACATGTTTCTAGGCTCCTGCCTGTCCTTGTTTCTTCCCTGGAAGCTGTGAGGGCTCCTCAAGGCCTGCAGAAAGCACCCAACTCCTAGTAAGGTGAGCCTCCCTCCCAGGGACGCCCCAGCCCAGCCTTTCCCGTCTCCAGCACTTCCCTCCTGAGCCCCACTGTTTCCTACTTCTGGGCTGTCACGTGTGTCCCCAGCCTGGCCTGTCCCTCCATTCTCCTCCACCAGACAAGTGCCCGCTGTTCCTCCAAGAGGCAGGAGCACTGTCAGGGCTGGGGGGAAGCCTGCCTGCTCCCCAGCTTGTGCTGGGGGGTCTTGTTACTCTGGCCCCCTTGTGGGCTCCAGCCTCTCTTTCCTTCCCTTTGGTTGTGCTGAGCTGGTGCCCACTCCCCTCTGCCAGCCTGGGCCTGGACCCCTGGGGTCTGAAACGGGGTCAGGAGCAAGGCCCTCCACGGCAGAGGCTGAGGAAGCTCAGAGACAGCTCAGAGGGAAGGACACACATCCAGCCCAGCCTCCGGGGAGACCCCACCTCATCCCCTCACGCCAGCCCCCCTTCAGCCAGTGCATTCTTCCTCAGGCTGCACAAGGCCGCCCCCCATCAGACCCAACTCAGTAAACCTGGGAAAGGCCAGAGCTGTCTGAGTCAGTGGCCCTTCCACGTGGCCCCGGCTGTCCGTCCTGCTCTTGCCCTCACTCGACTCCACTCCAGGAAGAGAGGCCCCAAAGCCTCACGCTGCTTTCCGCAGCCCTGGCAGGGCCTGGCTCAGGGGCGAGTGACGGGCAGACAGGGTGTGTGCAGCACAAGGGCCCGCCTTGGGAGGGCTCCCCTGCCCTCTGCCCCCCCCCTCCCCTCCCCGCCTCGGAAGGGCCTGCCTTCTTCTTCTTTAAAAAAAAAAATAAATATTTTTTTAATTGATTTTTTACAGAGAGGAAGGGAGAGGGAGAGTTAGAAAAGTCGATGAGAGAAACATCGACCAGCTACCTCTTGCACACACCCCCACCGGGGATGTGCCTGCAACCAAACATACATGCCCTTGACCGGAATCGAACCTGGGACCTTTCAGTCCGCAGACTGACGCTCTACCACTGAGCCAAACCGGTTTTGGCAGGCCTGCCTTCTTGACTTAACTCTCAGCTAGCTAGCTGTAGTGATCTCTCTGTCTTTTTAAAAAAAAATGTTTTTATTGATATCAGAGAGGAAGGAAGGAGAGAAACATCAATGATGAGAATCATTCATTGGCTGCCTCCTCCCCGCAACCCGGGCATGTGCCCTTAGCCTGACTCGAACCCAGGACCCTTCAGATCACAGGCCAACACTGTATCCACTGAGCCGAACTGGCCAGGTCTCAGCAGTAGTGATCTTGACGTTCTTAATTTTTTAAAACCAGGGGCCCTGCAGATTCCGCGGCCAGATGACCAAGGTGGGGTTTGTGCTGAGGAGGAAGAAGAAGTCACAACAATGTTCCCTTTTCTTCTCCAAGGGCTTCTGCCCAGGTGCCCCGCCAGGATGACGTCCGTTTAGCCTGTGCCTGCTTCTCCGCTCTGACTGAGATGTTGTTAGGATCCAGCCATTTCTGTCACCCACCTGGGGGAGAGCCACGAATGACTGACCCCCGTGGGGCGCCAGGTCTCCCCCCCGCAGTGACTGAGCTGGGCACAGGCGGGAGGGATCCGCTGCTGGCTGGCTACAGGCCCAGGACCCTTCTCCTGGGTGGCTGCCCTCCCGTCCCTGGAGATAGGTGGCTGAGGCCGATCCTGTGCGGTTTCCCCAACACCAGACCCCCTCCTTGCCCGCACCTTCAACGTTATCAAGAAGGGCCACAAGGGGCCCAGCAGCCCCTGCAGGCCCCCGCCCACCCCACTCCCTGTAACATCAGCCTCAGCATCAGCTCCCGCTTTGCCCTCCGTGGGAATGTGCTGTTAGCTCAAACCTCCCCCACTCTGCCCCCCGCCCCCTCCACCCGTCCAGGGAACATCTCTCGACTCTGGCCTGTGGCCTCTCCTTTCATCCTGGCACTCACCTCCCTCTAAGGCCCTCACGGGTCCTTGTGTACCCACCAGCCAGGAACAAGGACAAGCTGTGTTTTCAGAGATCTCTGGCAACCTGGCCCCGAGAGGCCCTCTGATGGGAATGGGGACAGGAAGGTTCACAGCAGAAAAAACCCAGTCCCCTTTTATTGAGCCAACAGTCAATTCCTCACTCCTTTCCCAGGCAACTTGACCCCGAGATACGAGGGGACATCCTTCTGCGCCCGCCCCAAGGACCCCGAACCTGGGCGGGGCGGCCCCCGAGGGACTTTCCTGGCCTTCACAGGAGCAAACGCTGGTCTGTGGGCCCTGGAGCAGGGGGGCTCCGGAGGGGGCTGTGCCAGGCTCCGGGGTGCCCTGGGCGAGGGTCAGGGTGGCCCAGGGAGGGGGTGTCTGGGATGAGGGAAGGGCCTGGCGTCTTCTTCCTCCAAATTCTTCATAAATAGAGCTTCACAGTGAGAGAGGTATGTCCACTTCCAGGGTCAAACCGGCTGGCTCCTGGCCGGGGACTCAGACCTCAGTGGGCCGCAGGGGGGCCCGTGGCTGGGCTGGGCGGGCAGCACCGTGACTTTGGGGCCGAGCCCTGCGTCGGCGGGGGGCGGGGGGCGGGCTGCTGCCATCGGAGGTTCTGAGGGTCGCTGAGGTAGTCTGAGGGGCAGGCCCTTCCAGACAGGGGCCGGTCCGAGCATCACAGGACGCAGCCAGGACTCAAGCCGCCTGAGAGCAGAAGGGGCTGCGCAGCCAACTCCAGGCAGGCCCGGGGGGAGGGAGGGAGGGTGTGCCAGGGGCTGAGGCTCTGTCTCCAGGAGACCGAGGAGCACGGAGTGGGTGTGGGGCTGAGCTGCTCCTGAAAAGGCTGCTCGGGCCCGCTGGGAGACTGAGGCGTTTCACAGGAGAGGAACCTTCTGTGAATGAAGAGGGCAGCCACGCAGCCATCCAGGGCCTGGCCTCGCTTAGGTACCTGAGCACAGGGTTCCTCCAGAGGCCGCCAGGGCCTCCACCAGGTCAGAGGGCCGCCAGCAGGACCTTCTCCAGGCCGGGCTGTTCCCAACGGGCCCCGCGCCTCAGCTCCGCTTTCTGCAGAGCGTCCCCCCGGCTGCCTGTGCTCCCTCAGGCCCAGATCCAGACCCTCCACCGCCGGGCGGGGCACCAGCGCTCCCACCCCCTCCCCCCCGCCCTGGCGTCGCGGCTCCCGCGGAGGCCGGGGTCCGGCCGGGGTCCGGCCGGGGTCAGAGCACCTGCAGCTTGCGGGAGCAGGTGAGGTTGCCGTGCACCAGCCCCCACATGGCCAGCAGCTCGGCGGGCAGCAGCTTGTGCACCACCAGCATGGAGCGGAAGAAGCACGGCTCCTTGTTCATGCGGCTGTTGCGGTTCCGGGAGATGCCGAAGGTCTTGAAGCCCTTGTGGGCCACGGGCTGCACGCCCAGCACCTCCAGGCACATGCCCAGGAACACGTCGTCGATGGGGTAGAGCTCCACGGTGTCGCAGGCGCGGTGCAGGCGGCGGGCCAGGCCCCCGGCCATGAGGAAGCCGCCGCCGCCGGCGTAGGGCGGGTAGCTGGCCTTGCCGTACAGCGGCGCCGGGATGTAGTACTTGTTGTCCTTCCTGCGGATGGGCCGGGCGTGCTGCAGCACGTCGCCCACAAACAGGTCCTCGTCGGGCCGCCGGTCGGCCAGGAACTCCAGCAGGTTGGTGGGGTGGACGAAGACGTCGTCGTCGCCCTTGAAGACGTAGCGCACGCTGGGGCAGAAGGTGTCCAGCCACCGGAGGAAGTGGGTCTCCTTGAGGGTCAGGTTGAAGAAGCTGTCCAGGAAGTCCCACTGCAGGATGTCGCCGTACAGCCGGTCCTCGTAGGCCAGCAGCTGCTGGTAGTGGGCGCGCTCCTCCCGCTTGGAGGCCGTGCCCAGCAGGAAGAGGGTGCGCCGGGCGCCCAGGCCCGCGCCCACCGACGCCTGCTCCTGGCCCCAGGTCTGGCGGATGGCCTCCCGCCGGTCGTGCTGCGTGATGACCGACTTGACGACCACCAGCAGGTAGACGTCGCCGCGGCACTTCTCGGGGTGGTTGAGCAGCATGGGGAAGTAGCGGCAGTGGCGGTAGAGCAGGAACTGCTGGAAGTGGGGCTCCAGGCCCTGGAACCAGGACTGGTGGGTCAGGTTGACGTTGGCCGAGCAGTTGGCGGAGGTCACTTCCCAGGCCTGGGGGCCCCACGAGGCCATGGGCGCGGGGGAGACCGGCTCCTTCGATCTCTTCCAGAAGTCATTGGGGTTCACCAGCTGTCCACTTGGTTTCTGGGCCTTCGGGGGCCCTGGCGTGGGCGGTGGGGGGGGCTCTTGCAGAAACTGGTCGGGGGCCAGATTACGCTGGAATACAGCTATGCCCACGAGCAGGGCCAGGGACAGACACACACTCTTATAGACAATTTTCTTCCTGGGGGGGGAGGGAAGAACAGAGGAAAAGATGAATCCCCGTGATCCTCCCAGAAGCCCCAGAGGGGCATGCTGCTTCCTCTCCCACCCTGACTTCCCTCCTCCGAGACCAAGGAGCCACACAGCCCAGGGCAGCGGTTCTCAACCTGTGGGTCACGACCCCTTTGGGGTGGCCTAAGACCATCCGAAAACAGTTATTTACGTTACAATTCATCACAGTAGCAAAATCACAGTTATGAGGTAGCAACGAAAATAATTTTATGGTTGGGGGTCACCGCGCCATGAGGAACTGTATTAAAGGGTCGCGGCATTAGGAAGGCTGAGAGCCACTGGCCTAAGAGGAGCACGGAGGGGCAGGCGCCTGGCACAAGCTAAATGACTTCGATGGGGCTCCCTTAACCTCTCCAATCCGTGGTCTCTTCTTCCCTGAAATAGGGTTCTGGCCAGGCGCCGGCCAGGCAGTGTGTGTGCAGCCGGGGATTAGCATTCTATAGGCACTGCCTCCGGGGGAGACCTTTGCCCAGTTCCCGAACGCAGCAGGGCACCTGGGCCCATCACTTTCATTTCCTGGGCAGATCCTGCGCACCGTCCGGGAACCGGGGGCGGAGCAGAGACGGGACCTGCTCTGTGCCAAGAGCTCTATACTGAGGGGGTGGGGGGGCTTCGGAGAGCAGGCTCTAGCCTGGGACGGAGGAAGCCTGTCCCCCCTCCCTCCAGCCCATCCATCTGACCCAACAAGAATAAAAGCCCAGGGCATCGAGCATGACCACCACCCCGAAGCCCCAGCCCGGCCCCACCGCCCTTCACACCACACCGGGAGCGATGCTACACTGCCTGGGAGGGCAACACATCCCGACCCCACCTTCCAAGGACCCTGCTTGCCCAGAGACCCCTATCCCACCCACTTCAGAAGCAGAAATTGGAGTGTTGCCAGGAATGCTGGACTCAGCACCCTCTTCCTTCAGCTCATAATCTGGGGGTGGCCAGGCCACCTGCTCTGGTCTCTCCTGTGGAGACATGGGGGTGACAGTTTCCCATGTGGTCCCAAGGTTTCCTTCCTCTGCATGGACTGGGTCACCTCAGGTCCTGGGCTGGGGTGTGTGACCTGAGACTGACCCTGGGAGGGTGGGGAGCAGAGTGCTCGGTTCTCCAGCCCAGGGGGTTTCCAGGAGGGTCACCCCAGGGGAGGGGGATGCGGCAAGGCCCCTCCACCACAGGCTGGTTTCCCCTGCACCGTCCCACACGGTTTGTGGGAAAAAGTCCTTCAGGGGAGAGGAGGGGAGAGGAGGGGAGAGAAGAGAGGAGAGAAGGGGAGAGAAGGGGAGAGGAGGGGAAAGAAAAGGAGAGGGGAGGGGAGAGGAGAGGAGAGGAGGGGAGATGAAGGGAGAGGAGGGGAGAGGTGGGGAGAGAAGAGAGGAGAGAAGGGGAGCGAAGGGGAGTGAAGGGGAGAGGAGGGGAAAGAAGAGGAGAGGAGAGAAGGGGAGATGAAGGGAGAGGAGGGGAGAGGAGGGGAGAGCGAGCTGGAGCAGCGTAGAGGGAGGAGAGGAGTACTTTGGCCTTCTGAAGGGTGTCCGTGACCGGAGGGTAGGCTGCGCAGAGTGAGAGGCGGGGCTTCCGGAAGGAGAGAGCTCGAGTGATGCTTTTCGTCCTTTTCGCGAAGCGCGCTTTCTTGGGATGTGAGTCTGTTTGTAGATTCGGTCGCTCGAGCCTTGAGGAAGGCAGAAGCGCGCGGCCCCGGAGGAGGGAGAGCCACTGGGGGCAGAGGACAGGGTCGCCCAGATGCAGGAGGCCCTTGGGGTGCGGGCTGAGCGCACGGGCTCCAGGTCCCGGGCCGCCGACCGCGGGTCCAGGCGCGCACACGGTCGGGCATCTCCGGCGGCCGCGGCGGAGCCCTCCGGTCCCCGGCCACTGCCGCCCGGACACCCCGGCCGCATCCCCGCGCCTCTGTCCTCCCTCCCCTCGGCCCGGGACAGGGGCCCGGCGGCCCGGGTCCGCACTCACCCCAGAGACATGGCGGCCGGCGGCGAGGAGCGGCGGCGGCTCCGGGCGCAGCGGCGGCGGGACGGCCGGCGGGGCGGCGCCCCCGCCCGCACTTTTCTCTCGGCGGCGCGGGGAGGGGCCAGGGCGGCGGCCCAGGTGCGGTAACCCCTTCGCGGCCGGCCGCCCCTTCTCAGGGCGGAGCCGGGGCTGCGGCGCGCAGAGCCGCCCGGGGTCCTCGGTCGGAAGGCGGGCGGCCGGGCCCGGACCTCGCCCGGGAGAGCGGCTTCCCCGCGGGGCGCCCGGGAGCCGCCGTCCCGTCTGGTGCGTGTGAACCCGGCCGCCGTCCATCTCCCGCCGCCGCGGCCGGGGCGGGCACTGCCCTCCGGCTCCGCTCGGACGGTCCTCGTTGGGGCGCAGAGGCTGCCCGGCGCACCCCCGTCTCCGCACCCCAGGCAGCAGCCCGCCCCCAGCCCGGGCGCCTCCCGCCCCGGGAGCTCCCCTTCACCACCGAGGGCCTGTCTGCCCCGCTCCGCCACCTTCTCTTTCCATCAGCAAACACGTCCCTCAAAACCCTTCCTGCCCCCAAGCCCTTATTCACCCATTTGTGCGGTGCCGGCCCGGACGGGCGTGGAGGGGCGCCCCGGCTCAGCCGCGCCTGGGACGACGGGGTCCCATCCAGGCGACTTCCCGAATCCTCTGGCAGGTGCGCTCCCTCCGCCTGCCTCTCCCCATGTCTGTGCCCGTCCCTTCCAAGCTGAGGTCCCACCACGCAGCGTATGGGAGGACCTTGAAAAAGGCCGGTGGGATTAAGCCCAAGGGGAAGCCTTTAGCAGCGAACATTCTTCCAGCAGCGAAAAGATGCCAACCTCAGCTCTGGGCAGCTTCTCAGCTGACTCCCTAGCAGCATATACTGTTGTGATCCCCACTTTACAAAGGAGGAAATGGAGAGGGGAGACTCAGGAGGCCAGGTTCCATCATTAATAAGCAAATCCAGGAGGCCTGCCCGGCTCCGGAAGCAGGCGCGGCGCCTTCTCTCAGGGGCGGCCATGACAGGGAGCTGCTTTGAAGCTGGGACCCAGGCCCCCGAAGCCCTAGGAGCCTTTGGCTTAAGGCTCAAGGGCTCTCTAGAGAGGGCGGAGAAATCCAAGGTGCGACAGGATTTTCATGGATGTTGTGAGCTCTAATCAAGAAATGCGGAGGGCCTTCCAGGAAGAATTCCACAGGAAAACCCTGCGACCAGCACCTTCCCACTCATAACCCCACTGGCCACCTGCCCCACGGGGCACCAGGTACTTCATTCACTGCCCAGGTGCTGGGTTCTCACCTTTCACCCTGGAAGTGTGAGCTGGAGGGAGGGCTAGGGCCAGGCCTGGCTGGGGCCAGCCCGCAGTACCTCAGCACTGACCTTTCCCCCAGAGGCTGTGGGGTCTCCTCAGGGCCTGGTGAGGGGCAGACACAGCTATTCTCTGGGAAGGGGTTCTGAGCCCAGGTTTGGGGACCAGAGGGGACAGCTCTGTACTTTTTGGCTCTCATTAGGGGCTGGTGGCCTGTCCCCGTGAGACTCAGTCTCCTGTGAGCACCAGTTACATGAGATCCGAAGATCAGCGTCTCCTCCGCGGTGGCATCCCAGCAGGCTGGCTGCTATACATATTGTTGTTGTTGTTTTTTTTTTTTTTTTTAATATATTTTATTGATTTTGTACAGAGAGGAAGGGAGAGAGATAGAGAGTCAGAAACATCGATGAGAGAGAGTCATCGATCAGCTGCCTCCCGCACACCCCCCACCGGGGACATGCCCACAACCAAGGCACATGCCCTTGACCGGAATCGAACCCGGGAACCCCCAGTCCCCAAGCCGACGCTCTATCCATTGAGCCAAACCGGTTTCGGCAAATATTGTTATTGTTAATATTGATAACCCACCCCACAAGCCCAAGGAGGTGGTGATGGGGGGAGTTTGTCAGTGGAATCTGGTTTGTTGAGAGGAACAGTTTGTCCTCACGGGTTCATGTCGTCTGTGCCGAGGTGGAACTCAGACTGGGGACTGGATGACAATTAATTGCTCAGCCCCTGACTGAGGTTTGGGGTGGACGATGTGGAACAGGCTAGGCCCATTTCAGGCAGTCTAACAGGCTCCCCGCAGGCTGTTGGCCTCCCTTTGGGCAGAGCCCTAGCAGATCCCCGCTGATTGTCTCAAACCGCAGCTGAGGTGGTTGAGCAGGGCCAATGGGAAGGGGGAGATCAGTCTGTAGATGGAAACTGTCCCGCCCCGCAACCCAGGCAGATGGAAGCTACAGAACCAGGAGATATGGGGGTGGATGGTGGGGTGAGGGTAAGGGTTGGTCTGGTCTGTAGCCGTGGAGGGAGGATGGGGGATGGGAAAAGCTAGCCGGGTGGGAGGCAGGAGTCCCAGAGGGTGGTGACGGTGGAGGTGGTGTCACTGGGCCCCTGATCCCCTCAGGTGGAGGTTCTGCCCTTGACAAGGAGGCTCAGGGAGGCCTGATGTTGGAGAAGCCCAAGAAGCTCCTCCTCCCTCTCCTCCCCCCTCCCTTCCCTACACCTCTTTTGCACTTTACTTTCCCTTACCAGCCCCTTCCCTCCCTCCCCCCTCCCCATCCCTGTTCTCCATCTCTATGTCAGCCACCACCCATCCTCCAGAACCAGCCGGGATAACCAAACCCTGCTGGTTTAGTAGCAGCCAGCCCCCCCGGATGCCACCATGCAGGAGACGCTGACCTGCGTATCTCATGTAACCGGTGCTGGCCTGGGACCAAGGACATGCCTTCCCCTTGGGTGTGGGGAGACACCTGACCGGCCAGAGGCTGCTCTCGGTCATCCCTTAACCAGGCAATGTGGGGCTGACGTGGGGGAGAGAGAACCCCAAAGCTGGGTGGGAGGAGCCTGGTGCTCAGTGGTGCTGGGCCGAGGCCCGGTGGAGAGCTGCCCTGAGCAGAAGCCCGCCCTCCAGGGCAGCGTGGCCAGTGCTTCCAATGGGTGGCTACACTTGCACCAGAGGGTCTGTCAATTGGCACGGGAGTGTCAGGAGCCACCTCTCTTTGGTGGAAAGCTTGTCCTTGAAGATGTGTGCCAGGCAAGAAATACTTGCCCGAGCAGCTCAGCAGAGCAGTGTCCTGGGCCCAGAACTCTCCCCAGTTGGTCCAGGACACCCCATACAATGATCTGATTGGAGGGTTAGCCAGCTTTGGACTATTTCGTCCTGGAATTCGCCCAGAGAGAGCTTTTTTGACGGAGAGTGGGGCTCCCCAGCGCTCCCGGGCAGTGGTGGGAGGTCTGTTTTGTGCTTTAAGTGGGGTGGCACTGATTCCACTGTAACATACCACGTGGGGAGGAGGCGTGGGTGCGGCCCAGCATTCCCACCTACCTCTGGTCCCTGAGGCCACCCATGCCCACTGCAGAGACCTGACCCTCTCTGCAGGGCACCCTGGGAGGGACTGCCCGGGCCCAGGGGAGGGGGAAGGAAGGAGTAAGGAGGAGGGAGGAGGGGAAGAGAAGCAGCGCACAAAGGAGGAAGAGGAAAGGGCCAAGAAGGAGCTTGCAGAGAGGTGGGGGGCGGGGGAGGAGCTCAGGGGGCAGGGAGGAAGGGTTTCCGAGGTATGGATGGCCTGGTTTGAAGTCTGGGAGGTGCCCTCACCCAAGGGCAGATTGGGTCCAAGAGAAGCTCCAGTCACAAGGGCGAGAGGCTGGGGGGAGTTAAATGAGTCTCCATTCAGGATTTGCATGTGAGCAGCACAAAGGACACACCCTGCTGCCGAGTGCTCTTCTGCGGGCAAATCCCGACGGAGCCCAGGCTGACCCAGCAGCCAAGAAGGTGACATTGCCCTCATCGTAGGATATTTCAGAATCAGAGTCACCGGGCCGCCTGCGGAGAGTCTGTTGGGAAATGGTACTTTTCCAGTTTCCCAGATGACGCTGATGTGCAGGCAGGTATGGGAACTACTGGCACTGTGCCCTCCAATCCCAGTCCCGTGGTCAGCCCTGGGCAAGGGCCCGCAGAGGCACACTTCCTCCTGTAGCCTGGGGATAGGGACACGGAATGGGGAAGCTGGAGGCAGAGAGGGGGAGAGCTGAGGAATTCACTTTTCCTAGTGGCAGCTGAGGAAGCGGAGGGGTTTCGGTGCTTAAAGAGTGGGAAAGGGCAGGACAACAAGACGTGTGAGGGCATTCCTGTGCATCCTGGAGACCCAGGCCCTGGCTGAGGCAGGGGTGCCCTGGAGCCTCTGGGTGTGAGTGACAGAAACCCAACTCCAAGTAGCTCAAGCAAAGGAATTTATTTGCCTGTCCTTTGCTCTCTCTTGTCCTCTCCCCACAACCCACTCTCTGTACAGTTCACCTACTGTTTATTTATTTAAAACAAATAAATTTTTGAAGACAAATTTTTTTCAATCCTCACACGGGGATATTTCTTTCATTTTTTTTTCTTTTACATTTTTTTAAATTAAATTATTATCTGTGTGCATATTTTAACATTGTCCCCCCACCTCCCATACATACCTTCCCTCCCCAGAGTTTTGTGTCCATTGGTTGTACTTATATGCATGTATACAAGTCCTTTGGTTGATCTATTATCTTCACGAGGATATTTCTTTTAATCGATCTTAGAGAGAAAGGGAGAGAGAGAGAGAGAAGCATTGATGTGAGAAAGAAACATCAATTGGTTGCGCTTCCTGGGGATCAAACCCGAAACCAGGGGATGTGCCCTGACTGGAAATTGAACCCACCCCCTTTTGGTGCAGGGACAATGCTCTAACCCACTGAGCCACACCAGCCAGGGCGGTTCACCTACCTCTTGCCTCTCTCCTGAACCTGGGGCTTCTTCGTGAGGCCTAGGAGAAAGGCAGGCTTGCAGATGGCCTCAGGTGTTCACCACTCTATCTTGAGGACCCCAGAAGAAAGAGCCCCACCCCATCCCGCCTTCCCAACCTTCATATATAAAATTCCAGCGAAGGACTCTTATTGGTCTTGCTTTAGTCTTATGCCCAGACGTGGGCCAATGATCATGTCTAGTGTGATTGGCCAGGCTCTAGTCATGTGTCTGCTGCTGGGGTTGTGTTATCGGTGGAAGTGTAATTCTTGCAGTGTTGTGAAGAGAAGAATTTCCTGAGACTTGCATGGGAGAAT